TTGGGGGGTAGACAGGGTCATTGCATAGGAGGAAAGACCACATGAAAGGCAATATACTGTCGCATATACTGTATTACCCAGCAAATAACATATCACGTATAATCATACAACCTTTATAATCACATGATGCTATTATTATCATATGTGATATATGTTATATAAGATTTTATACATTTTAACTTACAATATATAATATAGTACAGTATAACAGAGTACCTAATACAGTATAGTACAACATAGTATAACTTATAGTCAATACATTCACTCCAGGGAATAGGAAGTGCTTTGGGGTTGTAGCTGGCTGGCGATTGTGAGCATGCCCACGAGGTCCATGGAAAAGCAGAGCTGTGGACTTGAGAAGTGGCCATTACTGTACACCTTTCTGCTTTCCACACGTTCCCACTGTTTCCTGTGGCTGCCCTGACAAATTACCATGAACTGGGGGGCTTGTAACAACAGAAACTTATTCTCTCGACGTTCTGAGGTCCAGAAGATTGAAGTCAAGGTGCAGCAGGGCCAGGCTTTCTAAAAAATGTCCAGGGAAGAATCCTTTTCTTGTCTCTTTTAGCTTCTGCTGTTTTCTGCAATCCTTGGTGTTCCTCGGTTTGTAGAAGCATCATTCCAATCTCTGCCTCCGTCTTCTTATAAGGGCACCCGTCCTATTTAGGGCTCACCCTAATTCACAGTGAGTTTGTTTTAACTTGATTTTATCTGCAAAGATTCTATTTCCAAATAAGGTCCCACTCACACGTCCTGGGTGGGTATCACTTTGTGCCTGTCTCCGGCCCCCAGTGCTCAGAGCCTGTTTGAACTAGTTGGTCTGCAATTTCCCTCACACTTTACAGGTCCTGGGTCCCGCCGAGTCCCACCTCATCCTTCTTGGTTGATGTTCCAAGTGGTTGCCACAAGCCCGCCACATTTAACCTATGAATTTAACAAATGGTTTATGCAGGCCACAGGACTGGTGAATTATGAGGGAGGAAAAGAAAAAGCTAAACAACTCAATAGCTAAAGAACGGATAACCCAGTTAAAAATGGGCTGAGACCTTGAACAGACATTTCTCCAAGGAAGACACAGATGACCAGCAGGTGTATGACCGACATGCTCGACGCCACTAACCATCAGGGAAATGCAAGTCAAAAGCTCAATGAAGTACCACCTCGCCCGTGTCCGGAGCTGCTCCTGAGAAAGACGCATGACCAGGGTCGCTGAAGAAGCAGGGCGTCTGGAACACTGCACACTGCGGGTGGGGATGCAGACCGGTGCAGCCACCGTGGAAAACTGGGTAGAGAATCCTAAAACATTAAAACTAGAACTGCCACACGGTCCATAATTCCACTTGTGAGCATTCGTCCAAAAGAATTGAAATCAGGATCTCAAAGAGATATTAGCACGCCCAGGCTCATTGCAGCCCTATTCACGGCTGCAGCCTAAACGTCCCCTGACAGTTGAAAGGACAGGACAATGTGGAATCCACAGAATGGAATACCCCTCCGCCTTAAAAAGAAGGAAATTCTGAAACATGTGAAACATGGATGAACCTCGAGGACATTAGCTGTGAAATCAGTCGCAGAAAGACAACTACTGCACAATTCCATTTATACTAAGTATCTAAAAGAGTCAACGTCGTGGAATCAAAGAGTGGAATGGTGGTACCGGGTGCAGGGGAGGGGGACATGGGAGTCAATAATCAAGGGGCATAAAGTTTCAGATAGGCAAGGAGTAAGCTCTAGAGGTCTGCTGTGCAACATTGTAGCTGTAGTCAACAATAGTGTATGACACAGAAGTTTGTTCAGAGTGTAGATCTCATGTTAAATGTTCTTACCACAAGAAAAGAAAACAAAAGAAGCTGAAAGAGGGATGTAAAGACAGTAAGGGAAATTAATCTTCACACATTATTTCTATTGGTCCTTTGGCAATTCTTGTACACTCTGCCTAGAATTATTATTTAAGGCAATGATGGGAGTTCGAGGAGCTGTGACAGCCCCACCCTCTGCACCTGTGACCTGGCTGTATGCACCTGGTGGTAAAGGCCAGGACGAATGCATGCACTCACACCACCATCGCCACCCTGCTCCGTGACTCGAGGGGACATGTTTCCTGTCTGGGTCTGCAGGGTGGACTCTGCCATGGTGTAAGAGCTCCGAATCTGAGGCCAGATCACCTGGGTTTAATGCTGGGACCCTGAGGCCAGTTATTTTCCCTCTTTGCGCCACAGTTTCCACATTTGTAAAAGGGTGGTAATAGTCCACTTTTTATAGGAGTAAACAAATTAGTAATATATGTAAAGCGCTTAGAACAATGCCTGACAATATAGAAATGAGTTGTTATTGCCCGGTCAGTGTGGCTCAGTGGATTGAACATCGTCCCATGAACTGAGGGGTCCTGGGTGCGATTTCTGGTCAGAGCACATGCCTGGGTTGCAGGCCCGATCCCCAGCAGGGGGCGTGCAGGAGGCAGCCAATCAATGTTTCTCTATCGTGGATGTTTCTCTCTCTCTCTTTCTTCCTCTCTTTCTAAAAAATCAATAAAAACATATTAAATTAAAAAATAAATGAGTTATTATCATTATTATATAATTTTTTGGTCCAGCTAATAGAATTCCAGTATTTTACCAGTTCCTCCTTCAATTCCCTTGTCACCCCCTCACCACCAAGCCACCAGAGGTAACGTGGATGCTAGTATGTGAATGCACCTTTTGTTTTGTTGTTTTTTAATTCTTTACTCATTCCTTACATCACAACCAGCCCTGGGGAAAAGTTCCTTTGTTGTCATGTCTTAAAGGACCAAGAACCAGGTACCTGCGGAGTGAGTCCTTCTCGGGAAGGGCTTAGGAAACTGATATCATAAACTGAAGTTAGCTCTGAGCTGTCATTAAAGTCACAGTCACCTGTCTGTGGCTTTATCGGTAACTTCAGCTCTGCGGGCGGGTGCACCCGAGCCCTCCAGCTTTCGGATTTTGTATAAGGGAGCCCATGGCCCCTCAGCCACTCAGGGGTGGGTCTGTTTTCAACGCTGAGGAAAAGTGAGAACTGAATGTAGTGAAGAGAGAGGTAAAATAACTGTAATTTCATAGCAATTACCTACAACCAACACCGTCAAAGGCGCCGGTTTTCCATTACCAACCCCGGCCTCTGCCGGGAGAGGCCTGCAAGGCAGAGAGGAGGGAGACTGGGCTCTGGGTGGGAAAGAAGGTGTCGCTCCTCTCCATTCAAAGGCCACGGCAGCCCTGGCAGGTTTGGCTCAGCGGTTAGAGCGTCGGCCTGCGGTCTAGAAAGACCCGGGTTCGGTTCCCGCTAAGGGCACGTACCTCGGTTGCGGTTTGTCCCCGGCCCTGGTTGGGTCGTGCAGGTGGCAACCACTTGATGTGTCTCTCTCGCGTCAATGTTTCTCTCTCTCTCTCTCTCCCTCCCACTCTATCTGAACAAAATATTGAAAATGTCTGTCCTCAGGTGAGGATTAAAAAAAAAAAAGGCCACAGCAGAACGCATCTCATGGGGGAAACAATGTGTTGAGCTTTGAGAATGCATTTTTTCCCTCCTTTTCTTTCAAAAAAAAAATCTTAGTAAGTCTCTATTTCAATATGTTGGTTGGCTTTTTTGTAGCTTTGCAAGTAAGCCCGGGGGCCTCCCCTCCCTGAGCCTCCCCGTCAGAGGGGCCGGGTACCTGGGCCACCAGACAACGCCACCGTGTCCAGGGCAGACCAGAGAGGGTGGGTGATTTTCCCCTCTAAGTACCATCAGGAGACGATAAACCACTCCGTGGAAATAAATTATATAGGGATCAGTTCTCCAACCTTTCTGTTTGTGTGTGTGTTTGCTGGGAATGAATTCTTATAAAATTCATGTCTCTGTAACCCACTCAGAAGTAAAGATAGACTCGCCTTCCGGACATTAACAAACAAACACATCAAACACGCTGCCTTGAGGAGGGACAAGTGTCACAAGCAGAAGTATGCGAGGGTCAGCAGCGCTGTCTGCTGTCCTGTCTGTCCCCTGGCCACCCACCGAAGGCCATAAGCCCCTTGAGTACATGCATTTTTTAATCCCCCATGCAATTTTCTCCAGTGCCTTGCACATAATCGATAGTCAATATGTATTTGTTCAATGAAAGGATCATTTACAATGAACGATTTATTGACACTCAAGGTCAGAAGTCAGAACTAAGTATACTGATTAGTCTGGAGTCTGCTCACTAGTGAGCTATAGGGAGATAACCATTTATACTCATGACACCCTCAGGAGCAAGGACCAAAGGGTCAGAGAGGGTAAAGTACAGAGGAACATGTTTTGGTTAGGTAGACCCAAAGAAAAGCATTTCTAATTGTTGGAAATGCTCAGGATGGACTATTTGAGAGATAAATTACTGGGTAGTGGAGGTGGTCAAGCACAGACGAGATGATTACGTGGGGTGCTGCAGTTGGTGGTCCAACATCATTGGTGTAAGACTATGTGATTTTATTTTTTAAAATATGTTTTTATTAATATTTTAGAAAGAGAGGGGAAGGGAGAGAGATAGAAATACCCATGTGAGAGAGAAACATTAATCGGCTGCCTCCTGCACGCCCCCTACTGGGGATCAAGCCCGCATGCTGGGCATGTGCCCTGTCCGGGAATCGAACCAGGACCTCTCAGTCCATGGGACGACGCTCAGTCCACGGAGCCACACCGGCCGGGCAGACTGTGTGATATTAAAGTTCTCTTTTTCCCTGAGATGATAGGGTTCTGTGGTTTCAGAAAGTTATGACTCTACATAATCGCCACGCTGGAAACTCCAGTTCTGTTCGGCACGTATTTACTGAGCCCTTGCCCGGTGCCAGGCATTTCCCTGCACAGACTCTAGAAGACGAGGAGGGCTGTCAGGGCAGCTGTGCCCCGAAGGTAGGCTGGGGCACGGCGTTAGTCACTTCTCTTCAGACCATTGTTTGGGCGTTATGATCCTCTACTTCTTCTTGTGAATATACTCGTGCCACTCAGGACGCTGCCCCTCTCTCTCCTAGGCCGGAATCGACGGGGAGAGCATCGGCAACTGCCCCTTCTCTCAGCGCCTCTTTATGATCCTCTGGCTGAAGGGAGTCGTGTTCAATGTCACCACTGTGGATCTGAAAAGGTAAAAGACGCTGTATCAATGGGAACGTGTGTGGCTGCAGGAACGGGAACCTTCCACGAGGGGGGGAAAGGCCGTCTCGGCTCCCGCAGCCTCCTGCTGGCTCCTGGGCCAGGCCCCTCATCAGCAGAGAGGCTGCAAAAGCCAGTGTCTCACTGGGTGCTGAGCGCTTCGCTCCCGGGTTAGCAGACTTCAGTTAACACGGCCAAAGGAGGCGATGGACACTGGACACGCAGTTGAGACTGTCTGGCGCAGACGTGGGCATAGCATCTTAAAACCGGGAGTCAGCCATTCTGGTGGTTCTAGGGCCCCATCCTGGGGGACCTCGGCAGGGCTTCAGGGGCGAGAGTCTGCGTTTCCAGGGAGTTGGGATCCAGCCCGTTTCCCTGTTCTGTTCCCCTCTTTGTAATTCCTTAGCGTGAGAGATCTGGATGACACGCAGGGGGAAAGTTACCAGCGTTCCTTTCTTAAAGCGCAGTTTTAATGCCTGGTAGAAATATCAGGCATCATTCTCTGTCCGGAGCCACGCTGAATAATATTTTCTTCTTCTTTTTTTTTTTTTTTTGGTACGTGCCCCTAGCGGGAACCAAACCCGGGTCTCTCTGGTCCGACGCTCCAATCGCTGAGCCAAACCAGCCAGGGCCTGAATAATATTTTGAATCGCAGTGTATTCAATATTGCTTTGTATTAACCCACACTCTTTCCAGTCCTGTTTTCTGTCCTCTCTCACATCTGTCCTTTAAGCGTGGGATTTAACACTGAGCGTGTATCATCCGCTTGGACTTTCTTCCCCATGAGCATCTTCTCTAGCTCACCTTTATGCAAATGATCCTATACCCAGAGCCCTGCTGTCTTCTGGATATGTCCACTGTTATCACTTCAAAATCTGTGTGTAGAAAATTCTACCTGTCGCTGTTCCTTTGAGTTGGGCTCCCCTCCTGAACTCCTTGGTTCTCCCCCATCCTGGGCTGAGCCGTTTCCAGCTCCCGTCTCCGGCCACCTCCACTGTCCACCCGTGCCCGGTCCAGGCGTCTCTCACCTCCCGGCCCCGTGTTCATTCCCACAGCCCACACCTGGTTGTCTGTTTGTTCTTCCTCCTTCCAGATCCCTCCAGGTCTCCTCTCTCTCTCTGTCTCTCTCCCAAGATGACCTTACGACATTGTCACAAGGTTATTCTTCCTAAAGTGATCCTCTAATCACATGGCTCCCCGGCTCAGAACATCGGTGACGTTCCCCTGTGGAGCAACTCATCTGCGCCACCTTTGACCTTGTCTTGTCCTGGGTTCTTCCTCGCATTCTCTCCCAACGCTTCCCGGTGACTTTCAGCCTCTGGACCACCTTCTGCTGCCTTTGTTCTCTCTGGCCTGCAGCCCTCGGCTAGGATACCCCTCTGTCTAACAGAGGCTGTCCCCACCTTCCTGAATGGGCAGATTGTCCCAGGGCCCCATGCAGCTCCGGTCCCTGCCCTGGGAAGCCACCCCCTCCCACCCCTTCGCGCTCAGCAAATCTGTCAGTCCAGCCTCCCTCCAGCCTCCCCAGCACCTTTCATCCATGTTGCCTGGCCTCGTCATCCAGCATTTCACCAACTACAGTATTTACAGTCCCAACTCGTGAGTGTTTTTCCATGAAGAAACCACACAACAGATGACCTTGTGAAGGTTTTTCTTCTTCATTTTCTACAGGGAAACTGAGATGGAAACATTTAAATGACTTTCCCAAGGTACCATCTAGATTCTAAAATGACGGGGCCGCTTCTGAAGACCCATCTTCTTGGTTCTAATACCATGCTCTTCGCGACCCCCGTTATGAAGTTTGTTTTGTCCTCTGTATGAGACCTACGTCCCTCAGGAAGAGGCTGGGGTCACGTTTTAAGTTTTCTTGTGTCCGCCAGAGCAGCGGATTCAGTCAGACCCCCAGCGAGCGCCCGTCACACCAGTGGACACGCATCTGCTATGAAGTGGCCGTCCGTGACGAGAGCAGGCTCTCCACGGCTTGAGGAACAGCCTCCTTCAAAGGACAAGAGGAGCTCCCTGGTTACCGCCTAGACACATGGGCTTGTATTTACCCGGAGCTCAGGGTGGGAGAGGGAGCCCCCCGCATTCCTCACATGCTTAGGGTTCCTTCGGTCTGTTATCTGACCAACACCCTGCGGTAGGCAAGCAACATCACCACTCCTGTTTTGTAGATAAGGAAACTTTCTCACTGGAAAAAAAGGAAAAGAGAAGAAGGAGGAGGAGGAGGGGGAGGAGGAGAAGTTGGAAGGAAGGAAGGAAGGAAGGAAGGAAGGAAGGAAGGAAGGAAGGAAGGAAGGGAGGAAGGGAGGAAGGGAGGAAGGGAGGAAGGGAGGAAGGGAGGAAGGGAGGAAGGAAGGAAGGAAGGGAGAGAGAGAAAGAGTTAAGGAATTTTTTCACTGTATTAAGGAATGTTTTCACTGTATGATACAATAAACTACAAGAAGTTGCGTCATTTCTGAGAAGACTGATTTCTAACCTGCACCCGCATTTCCTGGCTGAGTGGGCTCGGACAAGCTGTCTTACTTCGTGACCTGCCGCCCCTCCCTGCAAGGCGGCGCTTGCCCAGGGTCACCGAGAGGAGGACTGAGCAGGCCGTGGGCAGCGTCTGCCTCTGGGGCTGGGCCTGGCTCGAAGCAAGAGCCCTGCACATGTCACCTGTTCTTAGCACCATCCCTGCCCTCCTGGAGCTGCGACCGGCCGGAGGAAGAGGGCTGGCACACATTCGGTAATCCATGAATTTGAGTGAGCAACCTGTATTTCAATGCTAAGTATCTAACTTCAACCATCCGTGCTGAAGAGGGCCAGCGAAGAGACAGCACCGCCGCTGGCCAGCGCCCACTGGCATTGCCCAGGGCGCCTCCGCAGCTGGGGTTCGTGCTTCTCAAGGATGTCGGACTCCAGAGGCCACGTTATCTTGAGTCACAGAAGAAGAAAGGGGGACAAAGCTCTGTACCTTTAAGCCACAGAACGGTAATTGCTAAAAAATGAAATCAGTATGGATTTCCTCTCCCAGCTGAGAACTGCTGCCTGATGTCAGCTCTGCAGAAGAACAGGAGGTGAAGAATGTTCTTTCGTTGTCTGAAAGGAGGGACACATACAAAGCAAACAAAGGACTAAATAAATTAGATTTTACAAGCACTTTCCGTCTCGAAGGTCTAGGCAGCCCGGAGTGCCCCAGAGGGCAGCTGGACAGTGCGTGGGTTTGGGGGACGCTTTGGGAGTAGCCAGTAATTGAAATTCTTCTCTTCCCCTCCCAAACTGACTACGCCAGGAATTTGTTTCATTACAGATTCCTCTTCTCCCGTTGTTTGCTTTGCTTCAGTTCCTCCATCTCCTGTCCTCCGCTCTGGACTCCCACAAGAAGCGTGGCATCTCACAGAGAGCATTCGGGGTGAATCTGGGGTTCACCCTGCTCCCGGAAGTCTCCACCAGGATTCCTCCTCTTCCTCCTCTCTCCTCAGGGCAGCCCTCCCCGCCCCTCTCCGCCCATCTGCCAACCTTCTTCCCTGACTTCGCTCTTTCCCTGCGCTGACATTCGGACCAGCTGGCGGAGGCCCAGAAGCACCTGCGCAGGCATGATGGGGGGGGGGGGTGTCAAACAGGAGGTCACTGGCCTTCCTGTTGAATTTACCCTCAACAGTGCAGAGGAAACTCCTTAGTATAGAAGTGCGAGGATTGAATTCATTCATATGTAAAGTTTAGAATTTGGGGTGGTGTGTTTTTGTTAAATGGGTGGAGGAAGTTTTGAAAGCAAAGCCCAACTTCTGCCCTGGGCATAGAAGCTGGGCACTAATGTTGAGAGTCACCTGTCATTAGTCTATTTTTTCTCAGTACTCAACTCCTTCCTCCCAGCTGGTTCCTCTCTGGTGGCATCCTGTATCACACGGCATCCCCTAGAATTCTCTTCTCGGGCTCCCGCCCTCCACCATGAGCCTGTCTGCTGACAGGCACGGGGTGTCTAGTGCACGATAAGCCCCAGGCTTCCCTGAAGGTGAGGTGCCCTGGGGTGAGCCACCACCTGAATCTTGCTCTCTCCACAGAAAGCCAGCCGACCTGCACAACCTGGCCCCTGGCACCCACCCGCCCTTCCTGACCTTCAACGGGGATGTGAAGACCGACGTCAATAAGATCGAGGAGTTCCTGGAGGAGACTTTGACTCCGGAAAAGTAAGGGGCTGTGTATCTCCCCAGCAACCACAGGGAGCGGTCCATGTGGGAAATGAAGGTAGCACAGGGTTAACTTTGAGGAGGTCGATTTCCAAAGGAGCCTTATGGATTCAGAGCATAGGATCCTCTTTTCAAGGAGAGAGTCTGGGATGTCCCTCCTCACCCCAAAAGGGCTGCCAGTCTCCAAACTGCTCCACAAAGCCCAACTCCAGGAGGAGGTGCCCCCGTGAAATGGAGCAGATCACTGCCCCCTAATCAGAATGACTTAAGGAACACTGGGAAGTTTAGCACCCCTCTGTCCCCTTAAAGAAGTCCTCTCTCCAGTTCACTTTGCCTGGAAGGCCCCCAAGTAAGGGCAAAGTCTTCCTCATTTCAGGAGAACTGAAAGGCTAGTGCAATGAAAATAAGCCAGGAGAGCCCTGGCCAGTTTGGCTCAGTGGTTGAGCATCGGCTGCAGACCAGAGAGTCCCGGGTTCGGTTCCTGCTAGGGGCACGTACCACACACACAAAAAAAAAAGAAAGAAAGAAAGAAGTGTAAGTCAGGAGAGAGACAACCCATGACTTAAAACCACACTGAGGTATAACTAAGAGTCGTAAATCAGACCAGGTCATAATGAGACATGAGAAAACGGATCGAAAGCTCATCCTTTCGGAAAACAAGCACAGGGAGCGGGGAGACCGGAGGCTGTAGGTTCCTGTCAGGTGAACGAGCTGCTCCCGAGGAAAACAGGAGCCAAGAAGAGGCAGGTGAATTCTACAAGTAGCTGCAAACTGGACTAGTCTGTTATAAGGAACTGTAATTGGGGGGTTAAAACAATCTCAAAAGTTTTTTTCAAATAGAAAGATAATAGTAGGCATAGAGTTCGGACTTTATCCTGTGGGGGCGGGCGGGAGGATGAGGAGGGCGGATGGAAGAGCTGGAGGTGGAGAAACCAATCGGGAGAGCCGTGGCCAGTGTGGCTTGATTGGTTGGAGCATCGTCCAGTGCACTGAAAGGTCTCAGATTCTACTCCCAGGTTGCAGGTTCAACCCCCCGTTGGGATACATGTTGGAGGCAACCAATCAATGTTTCTTTCTCACATCAATGTTTCTCTCTCTCTCTCTAAAATCAATAATAATAAAAAAATATTCTTGGGTAAGGATTAAAAAAAAAGGAAAGAAATCAATTGGGAGGAGCCAATTGGTAACCGTCCAGGCAAGACGGGCTGGAGGGCTGAGCTAGGGCGGTGACCTGAATGGGGAAGAGGGGCAGGAAGGATTCAGGACATGCTGAGTAGGTAAAGTAAGTGGGGCTTTACTAAAAACCATCGTGTTACATTTATTTTAACGTTTTACTTATTCATCAACACTTATATTGCCCTCACTTTGTGTGCCCCAGGAGATAGGGGATTATTCTCACTTTAGAGTTGGGGAAACTGAGGCATGGGGAGGTTGAGTAACTCGCCTAAGATCAGACATCTAGCAAATCATTGTTAAAACTCCCAGTCATGCTTGGATAGGACACCAGCCCCTCTGCTGAGAGGGCCCTGAGGGGGCTCAGGCTCCACCGCCCCCTTGGGACTTGACCTCATGGTTGGCACTGTTTTCGAGGGGCGATGGAAAATCCAAGCGTTGAGGAGCAGTGTCCCACTTAGTCCTTTGCCAGGAGGCTGGATGGAGGTGTGCAGGGGCTGGGCTGAGCCTGGAGACCTGGGGTCTACTCCTGGTTCCGCTGGTGATGTGCTGCGGCCCCTCGAGCCAGACCCTTCTCTGCTCTTGGCCTCAGTTAGCCCCCTCTGTGACAGGGTGACCCCAGAGCCCTTTCTGCTCTCAGCATCTTCACATCTGCCCTAGCCAGGCCCCCTCGACCCCCGATCCAGCTGTGCCTCGGGGTCTCCAGTCCACATCCACAATGGGGCCGAGGGGGCCCAGGACACCCCTGGGAGTGCATGGCTCACGGGTGCAGGTACAGTCTTCCAGAGGAGGGCCATCATCAGATTTATTCTTACTTCATCAGATTCCGAAGTTTCCGTCATCACAACAGAGCTCAGCAGTGCCGGACGCAGAGGTTCCCTTCTCTCCCCCACCCCACCCACCCACATTGCCCGCCCTGAGTTCTGTGTCCTCTGCTCTGGTCACTTCTGGATTTCCGTTGTGTGTAGGAGGTAGCAGAACCTTGGGACAGTCACAGTGCACAACTTCCGAAGGCCACCAAGGTGGGGGCCCTACTGTTGAGACCCAGAGTGTCCCTTAGGTGCCTTGGTACAGGTCAGACTAGGGAGGTGCTACAGTTACCTCCCGGTAAATGTCACCAAGCCAGGGCCGCAGTCCCACAAAGGGAGACCCACGGTTCTGCCCACAGCAAGCCACCGCCCCCTGCTGGCTTCCTGCTGACTTGCGAAGGAAGGTTGGGTGGCCCAGTGCCGAGGCCCCTGGAGGAGTCCAGCCTGACCTGGCTCTCTAGGGGGCAGCAGAACCCCCACGACTGTTCAGGAAGCCGGTCGCCATGTGTTTCTCATCACCGCACTGTTTGTGAAAGCTGCCGAGAGCCAAGAAGTGGTGGGAGCCTTTTCCCCTTCGCTTTATTTTTTAAAGGAAAAAAACCACATACAAACACTCCAACAATTTTTTTTTTTTTTGAAATCACATTTGGTCTCGCAAAGCATTTGGTGTCAAAAGGAGGACTCCAGGAAGTCTGAAGTCGTTTCTGGATGTCACTGACTTCCATCCCTGTCCTCAGACTGACGCGGCGAGCGCCCGACAGGGGGCCGCAGAGACTATGCTGAGACAGGCCGGGCCTTACCCCCCCCCCCCCCGGGACAGGATTCAGAACCGAGTCGGAGGCCTGACTCCGGCCACCCTTCTGCAGTGTTTGTCTTAGGACCCGGGGCAAGCCTCTCTCCTGCTCAGCCCCTCCCATCTCTGGAACGAGGGGGTGAAACTACCTGGTTTCTAAGATGCTTTTCGGCAAAAGTTCTATGATGCCACGAGGTTTTCCAAGTGCTTCCCAGAGCTGGTTGTTGTCTAAGATAGCCCGGGTATACAGACGCCGTGATGAAAATCAGGGGGGAGTGATAAACCGAGTCTCCTTACAGGCATGTCATTTAGTCAACTAGCAAGCAGTTGCTGAGTGTTAACAAGGTTCAGAGCACTGGAAGACACTTTGAATTCATTATTTTAAGAAATGTGGACAGATATCTCAGAGGTAACCCTCTGGGAGGTGAAGAAGCAGCCTCAGTACCAATGACAGAATGGCATCCTGGCTAAGAGAAAGGGCTTTGGAGTCCAACAACAAGTTCTAATCTGTACCACTAGGTTGTGCTGTAACAAGTTCGCCGCAAAAACTCAGCAGTTTAACAGAATATGGGTTTATTTCTCACTCGTGCAACATCTGAATGGGTAGCATGGCCTTCGTCCATCTCTAGCTCTTGGAATACATTTCCTCCAAGGCTCCTTCAGCAGGGAAGGACTGAGAAGAAAGATCATGCAAAATGTTTCTAAGGGCTGGGGCTGTGAGTGGTTACATCACTTCCCCTCCCTTCCTATTGGTGAGAATCCAGTCACATGACCCCAACCTGCCTGAGAGGGAGAAGCTGGGAAATGCAGAGAAACACATGGATGCTTATTGAACATGAGTGGTCTCTGCTACAGGTAAACTACTTGAAATCTTTCTACTGTCTCATTCCCACACATATAGAATGGGGTCTGTAATGCTGGTCTTGAGGGACTATTGTAGAAGATAGTGCTACTTAGCCTAGTGATTGACATAGAGTAAGAGCTCATTAAAAAAAATTTTTTTTCTTTATTGATTTAGTGAGAGAGGAAGGGAGAAATAGAAACATGGATGAGAGAGGACATCGATTGGCCGCCTCCTGCTCGCCCCCCACTGGGGATTGGGCCTACAACCTGGGCATGTGCCCTGACCGGGAATCGAACCAGCGACCTCTTGGTATATGGGTCGATGCTCAATCAGTGAGCCACACCGGCTGGGCTGTAAGAGCTCATTGAATGGCAGCGTGAGGAATTAGGAAAAGAGGTCAGTGCCTCTTCTGCGACACTCTCCCAGATATACTTGTGAGGACAGTTGGTGAGCTTAGATCTTAAAATGATGGATCCCAGGGGGTGTCCTTTAATGGATAAGCCAGGTTCCATCCACCTCCAAGGGTCATTTGCTGAAACAGTAGAGGCAGGACAAGGCAGGCACCCAGTCAAGGATTAGAAGGGTCCGAAGCACTAGCCTGCTTCTCGAGGGAGGGTTTGGTGAGGCGAGGAAGCAGAAATAGCAGAGAAGGGACAGCGGGGAAGTCCATCCACTCTTCAGCTCATTAGAAAATGAAGGGTCAACACTCAAGCTGCCCGCGGAGCCCCTGAAATCAGCAAAGATCACTCCATGAGGATAGGAAGACTGACTCTCTTTTTCTCCAGTGCAGCTCCAACATCAGGGCCCAGGCCTGGCCCCTGGGGGGTGTGTACTGCCCCTGGTCTCATTGCACTGGGGCCCTTCCGTCCAGGGGTGTGGCGGCCGATGTCTAGTCAATGAGAAGTCAGTGGGGCCTCCAGGCCAGTCAGGGTGCTTCCATCTGCAATCATATATGTTTTTTTGCTACTCTTTACAAAAGAAAGATTTGTGTTTTTTTTAATGAGAGGCCAACTGTTTTACTTCCCAGAATGAAGCTTAAGTGCGTGTCTGAGATGAATGCATTTGAAATAAGATATCTTCAAAACAGAGCGGAGAAACATTTTTCATTCGTTAGAGCAGACAGAGGTCTGCAGACTTTTCTGTCAAGAGCCAGATAGTAAGTATGTTTGCCTTTGTGGGACATATATACAGTCTCTCGTCACAACTCCGCTCTTATAAAGTGGAAGCGGCCAAAGACAATATGTAAATGAATGGACATGGCCGTGTGCCAATAACATGTTATTTATGAAAACTGAAATTTGAATTTCATGTTATTTTCCCACGTCACAAGATATTGTGATTTTGTTTTAATCATGTAAAAAGCTATTCTGAGCTCCTGGGAGGGACATAAACAGATGTTGGTGTGAATTTGGCCTATTGGCTGTGGATTGCTGACCTCTGAGTTAAAGAAACTCACCATGTCCTAACTGTCACCAGACCACATCACAAGCCTACATCAAAGAGGTTTTTATGAATGAAACGCTGTTCTCTAGCCTTCTGGAGAAAGAGAATGGACTCTGTAGCCCACTTATTGCCTGTTTAAAATATAGAGTAGCCCTGGCTGGTTTGGTTCAGTGGTTAGAGCATCGGCCCGCGGACTAGGGAGTCCTGGGTTCAGTTCCCGCTAAAGGTGTGTACCTCAGTTGCAGTTTGTCCCCGGCCCAGGTTGGGGTCATGTGGGTGGCAGCCAGTCGATGTGTCTCTCTCACATCGATGTTTCTCTCTCTCTCTTCCTCCTGCTCTATCTGAAGATAAATGCAAAAATATCCTTGGGTGAGGACAAAAAAAATAATAAAAAAATAAAATTATATATATGTATGTACATGTGTATATATATATATATACACACACACACATATATATAGCAAATATGGAGCTAAAATAAAAATACTTAATATCCTGAACCGTAACCTCCCCAAATGTAGTTACTGAAATCTGTGTGATCAATATTTGAAGACACTTCCCATAAGGACAAACTTCAAATGGGACATTATGCTGTCCAATAAGGTCTCAATGAATCCCAGGGCTTAGAAAACAGGCAGCACTGAGCACAGTTCCTGTGGTCCTTTGTCTTGGACTGGGTCCCACCCGCTCACGTCTGGCTCACCATGATCATGAAGTGACCAGATTTCTGTAAGTGTGAACAAATGATGGCATTAAAAAAAAAACCCCCAAACACTAATAAACCCAAACCCAAATGAAAATGCATCTTCTAGGTTCTTTTCCCTTTACAGTTACCTTATCAAGCATAAACAAAGCATTTGTAATATATTAATAATTTGAAGCAGTTCTAAGAGCATGCCAGATTCTATGTGAGAAGGCGAGAATAGGAAAAGGTTATTCTAAATACCCAGGTCTTGGTTGATTTCCTAGCATCTTGCAGTAAAGCTTGCTTTGTGCCCCCAGTCGGGGCAGATGAATTTGATCATTCCTGGTACACTCAGAAAGGCAGACGTATGTGCAGAACCTGTGCAGAGCGCCCCCTCCTGGTGAATGGAGAGAGTTCATCCGTGGTGTTCTGCCAAGTCTCAGCAAGGATTTGGGGGCTTGGAGGGTAAAACAGCAGAGTCTATTTGAAATTAAACAGCTACCTATCATGTCCCCAGTGTGGACGTCCTAGCTAATGGGCTAGTGGAGGAGCAGAAAAAAAAAAGAAAGAACAACAAATAATTTTTAAAGGCTTTTTGGTTCAAATTATTTAAAACGTTAAACAAAAGAACTCTTTTGCTTTTCAAATATAAAGAAACCAAATAGCTCACAGGTGACCGCTTTTCACCCAGAGGTCACAAAGGTTCACATACTTGATAACGATGACAAACATCTCCTCTCGCCCTTGACTGGCTGTACACACACAATGCTTGCGAAATGATTTTTTTTTTTTTTTTTAATTCAGAATTGCTCGTTTTATTGATGTGAATGGGGGTCAAAGCCACAGACTCCCACACGAGCAAGTTCACCTCACTCTGTCTCAAGGACTGTTATTTCAGTGGTAAACAGTCCTAACCTCAGTTTGCCTTTTATATTCTTCTGGCTTCAGAGTGAAAGAATGTGCAAGCAAGAGGGGCTGAATCATTGCAAATCCGTGTGTGCTTGGAAATGAAACAATTGGAAACAGTCGTCCTGCTGATGGAGCCCAGTACTTAGGGAGTGTGCAGAAAATCTTTCAGAAGACGACCACGGATATCCTTCCCTTCGGGAAATGGTTTTGAGGCCTCAGTGCCAGACTGCCTAGCATCTCCTTGCTCCCAGAATTAGCCCCGTGCAGTCACGTTAATGTGCATTGGGGAGATGTCAGGGACCTCGCCTGCTCCAGAGCCAAGCTTGTTCAGAATTTTGGTTTGGGCTTTTTATTGGTGAATTGGTGGTGGTGGTTCAGGAAGGGGACACCTCTGGGCCCTCTGAATGGTGTCCCGGCTCGCTGCCTCCCGACGGTGTCCCCGCAAGGCTGCTCACTGGCCTGTTCTCTCTCGGTGAACTGGGGCTAAGATGCCTACCCTCCCTAAAGGATACAAATAAAACCCAAAGAGATGTGTAGATCCAGTTCAAAAGAGGAGTGTTGCTTGTGATGAGAACAGATTCTCCCTTAAGGGAGCTCCAGGTTCCCGCTGACCCTAGAACCCCGTGTCTTTCATTCCAGGTACCCCAAACTGGCTGCGAAGCACCGGGAGTCCAACACTGCAGGCATCGACATCTTCTCCAAGTTCTCTGCCTACATCAAAAACACGAAGCAGCAAAACAATGCTGGTGAGTGAGCCCTGCCACCACGACGCCCTGGCAGCATTGTCCCCTGTCAGTCATCTCAGATGCTCAGGTCAGAGAAGCACCTGGGAGCAATGCTCCTTGTTATTCACCCCCCCATGCTCCCACACACACACACAGGGGGAGGAGGGGTGCAGACCCTGCTCTCTGGCGAGTGCAGGAGAACAGGCCCGCGGTCCTGACTGCTGGATTGGTGGGAGGGATGCGGCGTGGGTTCTGATCAGCCTGAGCCACAGCACCGTGCCCAGCACAGAAGGGTCCGCCTCCGCGTGCTACGGTCCGTTTGTCCCAAATGCATGACCCTCCCTGTGTTCTCAGGAAGTCCTGTTGGAACAATGGCTTCCTTCTGGTCCCCGAACGACTTCTCAGGGGGTTGTCAGAGGCCACAATGGGACAGCAGTCACCACGATGCTGAATGCTGAAGGCAGAGCCCGGCGGCTGCATTCGCCCTCCTGCAGGTGCAGAGGGTGCTGGCGAGGCCACTTCTCAAAGCCTGGCTCTCCCGCCACGCGGCCTTGGCGGAGCGCGCGGGACTTGGCTCTCCTGTGCTGCCTTCTCAGAGGCTTTGGGCACCTCACGTTAGCTCACGGCACTTTAGTGCCTCCTTTGCCGTTGTCCTTTCAGAGTTAGCCAGGGCAGTGTGAATAGAACTGTCCAACTGGGCATGTGGAACACCTGAAGAATGTTAGGCCCCAGGGGAGAATGGGAAGAAGGATGAGAAAGTTGGCTCGCCCTGTGAGCGGGAGAATGAATGAGACCGCCTTCTAGGCGGGAGCCTGGATGGAGCCCAGCACAGAGCCAGAGTAAGCACTTCACGTGTCTCTGTGAATGAATGAATGACCATCGGATAAACACACAGTGTACCAAGACACAGTGGTATGTGACAGGCGCTCCAGGAGCTCAGAGGGAAAGGGCATCTCTTTAGACCAAGGTAACCAGAAAAGGCAGCCATGCATGAGCGGAAGAAGAAATTTCGGCAGGCACAGAGTTGGTGCAGCGGGAAGTAAATACTTCAGTAACAGTGACTGAGGACCTGGATTGTGCCAGGCACAGAACTAGATTCTAGAAACAGGCACTCCCATTCTTCGAGGCTTGGTGGATGCAGAGAAAAGGCTTAAATTCATAAAATGTCAAATAACAAGACAAGATAAATGATAGCTTATACAAAGGGAGTCTGAAGAGCTGATTATCTGCCCTATGAAGAGGACAAACACATCTGCCAGAGGTGTTCAGAGCATGAAGAATTTACCTTCATGGCCTTTGAGAAAGCTTCTTGAAAAGGTTTCTACTGGGTCATAAAGGTTAAAAGGGAGTCAGTTGTCTGGAAACATTGGAGGATGTTGTGGGGACGGTGGGAAGATGCTGGCAGTAGAGACCAGAAAAAGTGGCCAGGGCCTGCAGTGCCAGCCTGGGAGATTGGATTCTATGGAGGGGGCAATGGCAGCCATTAGAGGTATGTGAGGAGGCACAATAAAGAGAGTAGCTTTTTAGGGACCAGAAGAAGGATGTGGAGACTATTTAAAATGTATTCAGGGTTCTTGCTTTGTTACATTGGGACCCTGTGGTGGGTTGAGTGGTGTCCCCCACAAATTCATGTCCACTCAGGACCTCAGAGTGTGGCCTCATTTGGAAGTAGGGTCTTTGCAGATGTAATTAGTAGAGTCTTCAGATGAGATCACCCTGGATTTAGTGTGGTCCCTAAATCTAATGACTGGTGTCTTCGTAAAAAGAAGAGAGGGCACACCGGACATAGGGCAGAGGCCATGTGAGGACAGAGCAGAGACTGGAGATTGTGAGCCACCCGTGGGTGGCCCCTGGCGTGGGCATTCTGGGAAACTGTGTGTGAAAGGGCCGGTCCTGCTGCTTTCCCTGCTGGGGCTCAGGGGCCAATCAGAGAACCAGGGGCTTGTCCTCGCCTCCCCTCAAACGCTGCAGAGCCGGCTCTCGACGCTGGTTTGCAGATTCCACATCCAGCGCCCTCTCCTCTCAGCCGCAAACACCTTCCTTCGTACTCGCCAGAGCACCCCCAGAGAGTGTGCCTCCCTTGAGCCTTTCAGGCGTTTCAAGTCGTAGGCGGTGTTTACATATTGTCCGTGCTTCCGGGCCTCCCATCCCCACAGCCAGAGCTACTTTCCTCTGGGCGGCGCGCATCGATTTCTTCTAAACTCCACGCTGTCCAACTTTCATTGCTTCCTCTTCTTCTGCTTCACCCTGGTTTTCTCCGTGGTGGCTTTGCCCGTGACTCCTTCTTCACCAGCTCATTTGCACATTTCAAAGCTCCTGTACTTTTGCTTTCCCAGAGTCTGTCCCAGATCGAACCCCCTGGTGCTGTCCCTTCTGCCTTTAACAAGACAGCAGCTTTCTTCCTTCGTGGTCACCGCTGGATCCATCGCTCTCCCACGCCCTCCTCCCCCTCCCCCTTCCTGCCCTGACCCCGTACCCCTGGTTATGCTCAGCAGGATCCACAGGTTCTCAGTCCCTGCACCCAGAGGCCCCCTCTCCTGCAGAGAGCACCCCGAGTCCTCCGCTCCGGGCAGCTCTGTAGTTGGGGTGGGGCAGCCTCTCAGACCGCTGGACGGCCTCGCATGGGACCCAGGCCTGCCCGGCCCCCTGCTCCACCCCAGCTCTGCATCTATTTCTTCAGCGTTCTTTCTTCAGATGGCCCCTTCTGTGCTTTCCGTTTTCTCCTCTGGGGCAGGGCCCTCGCCCCCCTCCAGCATCTCACCACCGAAGGCCCCCAGCGCCCATGCACACGGTGGTCGCGGTCACAGTCCTTCCCCGCCCGCCCAGCATCCGAGCCGGAGAACCCAGCACTGTGACTGCTTCTGCGGGGAGGATCGTTTCTCCACTCCTGGGGTGGGCACCGGAATGCCGTTTCAAATGTCCCCGCTGCCCTGGCCGGTTTGGTTCAGCAGTTGGAGCGTCAGCCTGCGGACCAGGGAGTCCCGGGTTTGGTTCCCGCTAGGGGCACGTACCAAAAAAAAAAATATACAAATATCCCCGCTGTTCCACAAAACATCAAGAGTCCGCAGACCCTGTCCGAACAGCCATCCACAGCTAGAGGATCGTCGGTTAGTATGCACCTTCTAAAGTTATTCTTTTATTCATTCAACAAACACAGATCGCATGAAGTGGCGACACACGTGAGCTCAAATTTAGGGCATTTCTTGAGTGCCAGGCACTGCACTAGTCTGGAGATGTCGAGACAAATGAGACAAAGTCATCGCCTGCGATGAACAGACGGGGACAGTAACACGTATAAATAGGTACTTGCTGGCCTGGCTCGAATCCCAGGTCGTCCACTTCCAGCTGTACAACTTTGCCCGAGAGATTTACTCTCTTTGAGCCTCTGTCTCGGCATCTGGGAAATATACTTAGTAATACCTTCAATGTCTTCGTCCGCCCAGTAAGGCGATTAATAGCATGTCCAAGGTTTGCAATGCAGATTCACTCATTTTGCAAGTCAGTGCTTGCCAGCCCTTCAGCAGAGTGCCCGGCACAGTCAATGCACATTTAAAGTGAGACAAACGGGACTACCGGCCTCAGAAACGACTGTTTCGCCTCTGACTTCCCCCCACCAGGACTTCCGAATCTCCGGCCCCGTTAGTCTCTTTTCTGCTTGTTTCACTGCGTTTCCCATTTTCTTGGTGCACTTGCCTCCTCTCCAAAGCGGACGGCGGAGCGGTCCGGTGGCCAGGCCCTGGTGCCTGCACCTCAGTGCTGCTGCGTGCGACCCGGAGGTCATGGTTTTGTGTCTGTCACTGCACTGCCTCCTCCTCTGTACCTGCCAAAGCCGGTCCCTCGCTCTGCTGTGACCGGGTTCCACCTCCACGCCCTGTAGCCCCCTTTGCGAACTTGCTTTTCACTGCATTTAAATGTAGCATGGATTTTCTCATGACAGTCTCAAGACCCCACGTTTAGTAAGATGCTACAAAGGCTTGCTTTGTACTCACTTGGGATGCCCCCCCACCACCCCTGTTTGGGGGGAAACGGGGCTTTGTTCTGGACATACTGCCTGTCCCACAACTCAGAGGCAGGTGACAGTGTGGTGGTTCCATTCACAGACTCGGAGGCCAACTGCCTGGGTCCAGACCCCAGATTCCTCTCTTGTTGACACTGGGCAAGTTGCATTACCTCTGTGTGCCTCGGTTGTTCCATCTGTAAAGTGGGGTCCTACTGTGCATATCTCATCCGCTTGGAGCACTGCTCCCCGCTGTGTTCCAAAGTCAGCTATTGCTCTGAGCTGTTCTCTAGGGGCAAACAGTTACACCCCAGCAGAGTTCTGGGATAAAAGTACAGTTTGAGCCCTGGCTGGTTTTGCTCAGTGGTTAGAGCATCGTCGGTCCTGGGTTCAGTTCCTGCTAAGGGCATGTACCTCGGTTGCGGTTTGTCCCTGGCCCCAATTGGGGTTGTGTGGGTGGCAGCCACTCGATGTGTCTTTCTCACATCAATGTTTCTCTCTCTCTCTTCCTCCCTCTCTCCCTCCTGCTCTATCTCAAGATAAATGCAAAAATGTCCTCGGGGGAGGATTAAAAAAAAGAGAGAAGTGCAGTTTGAGGATTTGTTTACATCTATTAGTCCACAGGTTTGAATAGAACCCTGGAGATAGCACTCAAGGGTCGCCCCCAGTATGGGAGAGAAGGAGATGAGGAAGGATAGCTGGTGAGGAGGAAGGCAGGAGTGGGGTCTGGGGATCACGTCCATGAGGAAGGAAAGCTTTTTCTATTAAAAAGAGAAAAGAAGAGAAGAGTGATCTGTGGTCTGAACCCTGCCCCGGAGGCCATGGACTGCCTGCGTCCTCCTACATCCTTCTCTGGCCTTCTTCTCGCCTACCTGGACCCGTCACCCAGACCCTGCACCACGAAGAGCCCAGGCTGACAGGAAGCAGGGCCCGTCACAGGGAATGGGACCCAGAGCCCACCTGGAGGCCGTGCCGCAGCCCTGAGGAGGGACAGAGCCGCACTGATTAGTTTGGGCTCCAGGAG